GGTATAGAGGATTTCGTTAAACGTAAAGGACGCGTATAATAAACAAGTAAAAAAGCTTAAGATGGGTGTTCCGACTTTGAAATACTCTGTACATATGTTTACAATAATTATAGAAAATAAAAAAATTAAGAAAATTAAAAAAAAAAATTTGGGTCGGTTTTACCATTTTCGGTATTCGAACTCACGTAAAGGGTAAATAATTGCACATTTACATAGCAATTGCGTCTGTGTGAGTGTATGTATGCCTATGCGCATCTATTCGTGTCTGTGGAAACATGTTAGCAGTCAACCAAACAGCAACATCAACAACAGTCGCGGGCAGCGCTTGAGCAGCGTTGCAGCAGCAAATATATTTATGGCTATAACTTCTTGTTAAATCGGTCTATCATAGCGGAACTTGGCATACGGACACATAATAACTAACTGGGGGTATTTGCAAAGGAGAGGGCGGAGGGAGGGAAATTCCGAAATATACATTTTCTGCGTATTCACATAAGGCATCTTGGACTAAAATTTGGTGTTCCTAGGTCTTATAGTCTCCGAGATATAGGCGATTATACGAATGGAAAATCGGGAAAACCCCCATAGGGGGGAAGTGGGGGGGACAATCAAAAAACTAAAACTCGTATAGAATACACACATAAGGCATCTTTGTGGAAAATTTGGTGTCCCTATCTCTTATAGTCTCCGAGATCCAGGTGTTCATACGGACGGACAGACAGACAGACAGACAGACAGGGCTAGATGGACGCGTCTCGTCATGCTGATCAAGAATATATATACTTTGTGCCTGTTACATTTTCAGCTCCCGCAAACCTAATATTATCTTGTACATTTCATGTACAGAGTATATAAAGATAAACAGACGTTTTATCAACCTTAGGCAAACGTACCTACCAAGTTTGGTTATTCTAGCGCCTATACTTTCCGCGCAATAGGCGCTCATACAGACGGATGGATGAACAAACTGTTAAACGTTCCCGATGTAGGGTATTTAACTGTATTGAGCACATTCGCACCTGTGGAAATAATTTATAATCTCACGCACACTTTTCACCCGGTATATGTTTTGTTGCCTCAAATGAAACTAATTGACTTGTTTATGTTTAGTTGACATTTGCCAGCGGTCGTCGTTGCTGTAGCTGGTGTTGTTGTTGTTGTTGCTGCTGCATATGCGCCCACTTGTCAACGCCGCCAGTAGCCGCCATGTTTAATCTGCGCAGCTGTCCGCAAAGTGACAGTAAAAGAGTGAGAGAGAGAGGAAGAGAGCGAGAGCGAGGGGGACGGAGCGAGGCAGCAAGAGAGAGGCATGGCTGCCTGCCTGTCCCATCTTGTGTGGGTTTATTTGCATGCTCAGCTACCCGCTGATTGCTCGATCCACTCGCCATAATTGACTGACCTCAATGAATTGGGTCTCCACAAACATATCCACAGATATATACACTTTATTTTTCTGTGCATTTCATTCATTCATTCAGACTCACCTGACATCTGTACATGACATCGTGTCAGGTCATTAGCATAAACGTTTTAATTAGACTAGTTGCTGAAAAGCTGATGCAAAAAAATACATAATACATATATGCCAAGTTAATTCTGTACGTTATGCACACGCTGCTTAATTCAATTGCCTTCAATTGCTTTGCCTAGCTGTTAACGTTTTATTGGATTTCATTGCTTAAATTAGTTGTAACTTTTAGATACTTAGATAAGCCCCTGATTGTGCACTCGCGCGCTTCTCATGTTGCACACACAAGCCAATGAATGAGGCATAAATAAAGTCAGAATATTTGTTAAACTAAGTGTAATATATCTAATATAAATACCTTTTTTCGCTGTAGTTTGTGTAAACATTTCCAATTCGCAGCAGCTGTAAATTGAAGCACCTTGAAATAGAAATACCCAATATTGATATATTGCACATATACGCATAAATGGAACTCATGTGTCTCCGATAGTTATGGCAAACAATACTGAATAATGTACATATATGTACATATGTTGCAAATGACAATTAATGCCATTTAAGTGGCACTTTTTTAAACGGCTTCTATGAAAGCTCCAATTAATTTTTGTTTATTTCCACAGCTTATCATTTTGTTATTGAAGCTGACCCTCTGATAAGCATGAGAATTATGGCAATTCTAATTGTGTTAAGTGGTTTTTGCATTTTCACATTGAAATTCATGTGCAGCTCTTTGTTAAAAAGTTGCCTCTTTTCAGAAGCCAATTTATTTACAAACTCGTCTTCCCTGGGTGTCTTCTAATGTTGTATCATTGGCATGCATTTCATAACTTTTTTAAGGACTTTGAAATAGGAATTTTCAAAATTAAATTTTCCTTAAGTTTTAGTTTCATGATTGGACTTTCATCTTGCTTGGTTGACGGCAGGTGTTGATTTGTGAATAATTCGCAACATACTGAAAATGTTAAACAAATACAAAGTAATAACAAAAGTCTTCTCAGCTGCAGACTTCGTAGAAATAAAGTTTTCCTGTCTCTTATGAAATTGTTTTAAATGGCAGTTCTCTGACAAGTTCGAATGTTGTTATATCAAATAGTGTAGGGAAACTGCAGATAAAGTTTTGCTATGTCCCTTTAAATGAAAGTAATTTTAGCTTCTTAGTTGCTGGTAGATGTTCATATCTTGAAAGAAGATTACTTCCCAGTTTATTGGTGTCTAAAATGTGCACGCACTATAATAATAATACCGCTAACTATGTTGTAGTATCAGTTAACTATATCTTGGGGATTGGATTGTAATATATGTGAATATTACTGGTGCATTAATAAAATGAAAACCCTGACATTAGAGCGATGTTTGAAGTCCTGAAATATTTACAAATGGTATTGCAGATTCCTAAATCTGTTATATTAATGTAGGTGCCAGATAGCCTTGGTGGTCCCAGTGCAGCTCTGAACTGTTCATACATAAAAGAATAATCTATATTGAGTCAGTTAAGTTAAGTTATTTATTGGCCGAATGCACGTTCTTGTTTCTACATCCAAATTAAATAGAGAGAGCAGTTCTACACCTTTCAAGCCTATCTTATCTGAAGTCCCAACATTCAGTTTCCATTTCTTTATACCTAACTACATTTGTTTTCCTTTTGTATATAAGATAGATTTTAAAAATAGTTCCGATATATAAGCATTAGTTTCATTCACAAATTAATAATTGTTTGCCGCTCTTTAAACGCATTTCGCCTTAACTATTTAACTTGCTTTTATTTGTAGATTTGGCTGTCTCTTCAATTCCTAATCTATATTCTTACTGTTTGCATTTCAATTTTATCAATTTATTTAATGTGTAGTTCTATATCAACTTGTAGCGCCGCAACCTCTCTAGACTCCTGTCAAGCACTTTGAGTACAGCGATCTATCAGGCCGTCAGTCAATGCGGCCGTCGGTCTGGCAGTCAAATCCCAAGCAAAACGTTGACAAGCGAAATCATTAAAAGTGTCAAATGAAAATGAAAGAACTGTTTATTTTTATTTTTTTAGTTGGTGTTCTTGTTGAATTCAGTTTGTCAGTTTTGTGTGCGAATGTGCACAGAATTTCAATTGCAATTTGCAAGTCAATTGCGCGTTGTTGTCTTCTGTTTTTATTTACAGTAGCTGCTAGGTAGGGGTTGTGTATATGTATATGTATATATATACATATAAATATATATATATTTTTTTTTATTTTTTTGATTCCAGAGCTACTTAGCATGCGTATTGTAGCGACACAATAAAAGCGCAAGTCAAATTATGCGCGGATTTGTGAGTGGAAGTGAAATATGCAAATATTTAAACCAAATGGCTATGTACGGGCACGCGTGAGCCACGTAGCGCAGTGTAGATAACGCCCCAATGTGACAGCTGTGGATTAAGCGGGTTAATATTGCGCATACGCAACGTGAGCGTGCCAAATATGGAAGATTTTTAGAGTACAAACAATGTAGTATGTACATATATAAAAAGTATGTTTAATGTTGAATACTTACAGTGGATTATGTATCACAACATTACCCATTCAGGGTGCCTGCGATGAACTGTAAATTATGGGATAATGGAAACGTAAAAATTAAAACCGTGTAAAAACAAAATTAGGTGTACTTATATCAATGCTATAAAGTTCGGAGTGTTGAATAGAATGTATTAAAATGCTAAGCAATCCAAACACTGCAACAATGCAAAATTCCTCGACTGCTCCCGCTACCGCACCATTAACTCATTAAACAAAACCGCTATGTGCATTTTTTGTGTATTTCCTTTAAACATTTTTATTTATTTATTTATTTATTGATAACTGAGCGGATTTGTATGCAGCTCACAAATATTTATAGACCTCAACACGTGCGTAATTTTTGTGTATTCGTATATTTCTTTTTTGCTGTTTAGCTCGCTTTGCATTACAAGCATCGTATGCGTTATTTTATGGCTAAAGGTACAATAAATATTTGTGCCAGTTTCTTAATAATAAAAAAAAAAAACAAAAATGAATTGTATGAATTGTAATTAGAGCTGAAACCGGCTGGTGGGACATTCTCAGTAGCTGTGGCATCATTCGTTTATTCGTATCGTACGAATCTTACACACAAGTTGACTTTTATAGCCGCCTGCTAAAATTTAATGCCAGGCCAATATTTTTTATTGGTCAAAGGCGCCTTTGCATTGTCTACATGGAAATTGTTTCAACTGTTTTGTTTGCTGGTGCCATTGAACCGAAATGTTTTTAATTTTTGGAGAGTGTCTGTGAACAGCCAGGACTTTTTATTTCTTCGTGTTTGTTTTGATTGTTTGTCCAACTGATTGATGTTGATTGAGCTGGAATTGTTGTTTATGGCATTAGTCGTAAATTAAAATGTAAAGCACTGCAATAACAAACATGAAATACGCCGATAGAACCTGGCAAAAATATAAACAAATAGTTTAAACTAGAAATAATAAACACGCTTTTCTATATATCAATTGCGCTGTTAACCAAATGCTCTCTTGAAATTCTTCTTCTTGCAGAAATCTTGACCTCTGAAGCCTTTTATACACAAGTCCGTACTATGCTCTCGAAGTATTTGTCCTAAATTTTGAATTATAATGAATTCGGCGCGGCATCATCGTATTGGAGTGTTTCTGTCTCCATAAATTCGCGCAACGCTCAAAAAAAGCAACAGCTGCAACCTTAACACAAACAAAACCATACAAATTATAAATTTATTAAATTTTCTAGTCAAGCCAAGTAGAAAAAAATATAATAATAAACAGCTTACAGAAACAGCAACAACAACGAAGCAAACAGAAAATTTGCCAACTCTTGCAACGGAAACGAATTAGAAATTTACAATTTTGAGCAACGTCTCAAAAGCAGAAGAACATAAGCTACAGAACCGCCACCAACTACAAGAGAATTTCCAACCGGAAAGCTGGCTAAGAAAATGCCCTACCATCATCGTGGAGATGCATCGGCTCAGGCCGACAAGCTGAGCGGCATTGTCGAGGAGAGCGATTTGTATGAGGGTTTTGCGCCACACGTGGAGACATCCGAAATCAAATCGCTTGATATTTACAATGTACCAAAGCAAACTGGTGAGTAGAGCATGAACGATTCTTATCCTAGTTACTAGTTAAGCCAGATGGATCGCTCAAAACGTGCACGTAAACATTTCTAGACTTAGACCAGTGAGGATGCTGCAGGAAGATAAAAGAAGCTCTACGATTGTGGCTTATTGCTGCTTCATATTATTTATTTACAATTGCTGATAAAAATGCCAAAAAAAAAAATCAGGAACTGCCGACTTAGATATTTATTATCTTTATTATTACAATTTTGTTTTAAAAAATCCCAAGACAAGAGGTGACTCATTAGTTAGGATTGCGAAAAAGTATATGTATTTATGATTCCCAAATGGGGATTTTCATTGAAATTTCTGATAATAATTGCGCTGTTTCTAAATCATGTGGTTTTTGATATTAAACAATAAGGAATACTGAGGCACAGGCACAGATTCTATGTTTACGTACAAATGAAGGCTAGAGTTATTTATTGTTGACATAGAAAAAATTGGGAAAAAATATGATTTGATTTATGGTTATTCATTTTATACCAGAGCTTTTCGATTTCGAAATGTTTGCGTCTTGGGGTGGAATTAATTGTATTCTACAAGTAATTGTTGTTTCCTTAAATATGCAATGCTAATTGCTCTATCTTTTAAATTGCATTTGTTTATATTTATTTTCGCCTGTAATAACGCCTGTTAAGACGCACTGAATTGTTTGAATCTATGTATGGGAAATCAGTTTGAAAAATAATTTTCATTTTATTTATTCTCCTTCCACATTGATTTTTCGCATCAATCCAAACAAGAAACAATGGTCAGTCACGCGCAAGTAAAATGCCATTTGGTAAATCGGGCGTTAAATTTGCAAACACACTCCTATTTTCAGAGCATATTCCACATTCTGAACCATTTGAAATACTGTTTCCATTTGCATTGCCCGATGTTATGAATAATGAGCTTTAATCAATTTCCGGTCGCTTATTAAGTAGATTAAACAAACGCGAGAGCAAGCAGTGCTGCAAATAAACAAAAGAAATGTATAAAAATTAACAGCAGGCGCATAATACCATTTTGCCAAAACAAAGAGCAGCAATTAGAGCTCAAAATGTGCGTAAAAATTGAGCAATTAAGTAATATAGTGTGGGATGATTTGTTCATACCCTACAGTCTCCTCCCCCAGCGAGGTCGTTGTGGAATCTCAATGTGTGCATTATATTATTGAAGAGTAAAATAAATTTATTTTTTTTATAACATTCGTTATCTATAATATACGTAAGTATATTCATCTATAAATGCTATAAATCTGTTAATAATGAACTAAGTTCAAGGGAATAGAAAAAATATATCCCACCTTAATAGGATTTCCTGCTCTTAACAATAGAAAATGCAATATAGAAGAATATTTATGAGAATGTATTATAATTTGAAATATTTTGGCTATGGTTTTATCTAAATTTGTTAATTAGGAATCGTAAAAACAAACCATTTAAATGAATTGTGTATGAAATAATTACATTTATACAACAACAATTCTATTTTGCACGGAATTTCTTAATTTTTGGAAAAAACGCCCCTATAAAAATTGAAAAATAGTTAGTTTCGATATATATTTCAATAACAATTGAACAATTTTCGGTTTGAATTGAATATATTTTAAGTGTTCTTTGGAAAATGTTTTATTTCAATAAATGTATACTGTATTTGGACATTTAAATGCGTTGCAATATAAGAATATATTCTAAAAATCGGCTAATTTATCAAATACCTAAATGATTCTTATTTGCGAAGTGCAGATCCCATACCTTACACAGCCATTTGTTTCCTTTTATGAGCAGTTATTGACGATTTAATGAGTACATTTATGAGTGCCAAGTGGCTTGATTTGTTTTTAAAAACCGAATCGCATAAACATTTAGAAAGAGCATATGTAATTTATGTGTTTATTGAATGATTATTTGTTTGCCAGTCCAAGTAAATATATTAATCAATAAACAGCAAAAAAAAGTGAAACAAAATAAACTGAAAAATAAATTAAATGTAGGCGTTTGTAATAATTGCGGCTAATATGGCGGCCAGTTGCCACGACATGCAAAACCGGCCAATTGAGTGTTGTTTCTGGCACCAACGGTTGCATTTTAACAAATTTGTTGTGTAATTTATAATGTTGTTGGTCTACATTGCAAGCACTGTTAATAGGAATTGAGCCTTTGTGACATTTCGCCGAAAATTCAATATTTTTGCAGCGGTGGTGAAGCATAAACAAGTAAACAGAATATTTAAATATTTGATTAAAATGGAAATTGCATTTGTGTATTGAGAGGTCGAAGGTCGCGAGAGTGCTACGTGCAGGCAAACACGCGCACGCATTTTCCTGCGCCTCACTTATTGTGTTTATTCTGCGAATTGTTTACTTAATTAATTTTTCGCGGCACACGAAATTCCGTTTATTTGTGTTGTAAATGCAAATTGTAATTTACATAAATTTTAACAACGAATTCGACTTTTGTACAGCACTTGGCATTCGTGGTTGAAAACCAAATTTGACTCACATTTATATATTCGTGATGGATTTACATGCTCGGGTACATATTTGGATGAAAAGAAAGAGTATTTGGCTGTGCCTTGAAAAGGGTAGGAGCACTAGACAATGGGTGGGATATATTTTAGAAACAATAATTTAATACTAATGTACAGTAATCGATTATTTTCACAGACTTGTAAGAGATTTTTATATTTGACAGTCGAATTATGTTTCTGGCTTATGGAAATAAACTGTAAGTTTAATATTCAAAGGGGAAAAAACGGTATTTACTTCACATATTCTTTACGTATTTTATTGCATAACGTTATTTGTGATTCCAATTCGGATTTACCTATTTGGCAAAAAATAATTTGTCATTAAGTCTTTTATACACAACCGAATGTTTATTCACAGCAAGAAGTATTTGTACAAACACTACCATTTGGAATTTAATTTCTAAATCTACCACAAATACCAAATTGTTTTTAAGCCCCACAATGATATTGACACATTATCTTCTGATTGTAAGTTGTCCTTGTCTGTGAAAAGCTCATAAATGGAATGGTTTATACAATTGGTCGCTGTAAGTGAACTTTTCATAATTGTATTTGACTTGCCTCGATTCTACAGTTCGCCACAAAACTTGCCTGCTCAGCCATATCAAATTTTGCTTATCAACAACATGGACGTAAAAAAAAGAAATGAACAGATAAAAAAAGTTATACAACACATTGACCTATATTGAGAATTAATCGGTAAAAAGCAAACGAAAACGCTTATGAAGAGTTGCACTGGACAGCTTTATGGGTTTCTATGAACCTAAAGCTGTATGTATTTATATGCACTCCTCTAGCAATATGATACTTGGATTATATAGCTAGCGCTTAGCCGTACCGAATCGGCTGAGCGCACGTGTGGAGCCCCAAAACGAATGCACATACAACTACATACATATTTAATATGCCATTAAATGCAATTAAGTTTTACAAGCCCCAAGCTATTTGCAAAGTGCATTGATTGCACATTAGAGCTGAAAATCCCAGCCAGCTGCTGCCAAAATACTAATGGATTAATGAGTTTTCAATGCAAATCTTTGAGTGACGCGCACTGACATTGGCCTTGATTGCGAAAATACGGAGAGAATATAGAGAGAAGAGAAGAGAAAAGAGAAGAGAGAAAGAGGAACAAATTGAAAAACTAATATTTATGTGCCTGCTTATTTTGGCTTGTTTTGCGAAATAATATTGGCACAATTATTATTATTTTCGAATTTCGGATTTTCCCCCACAACCAAACATTTTAGTCAGCTAATGGAAAAACCAGAGGGGCGTGCAACGCTCTAGGCGTATGATAATCCGTAAATAAGCAAGCTATATACATATCAAAATATATGAGCATATATGTAAATCTATAAAGTATATATTTCTATATTGTTTTTTGACATAGTGCCGCACACACTTTGCAACATCAGCAAGATTTTTTCTTTGGGAAAAGCAAACAAACCCAACAAGCATTCACGTTTTTATGGCAGTTGGCGGGCAGCCAATTAATTTATTTAAAAATAAATGTGATTTTGTTGTTGCTGTTGTGGTTCGCAGTTTCTTAATAAGTTTTGTTGTTGTTGTTCTTGTTCTGCGGCTGATAAAATTTCATAAAATCAGCAAATAGCTTCAAAGCAAATTGGATTATCATTAAACATTTGAAATTTGTTGCTGCCGAGCCTAAGATTTTCAAAATCAAGCACTCAGTGGCGCATATCTACAAGTATGTCTATACTTATATGTTTTTGCTGATATGGCGTCAAATAAAATAGAGCTTTTCTCCCAATACTTGGTGCTAAATAATTGCTAAACAGTGGAACCAGAAATTTCTTTCTCTGGCTATGGCAGCAGAAGAAGCACTTAATCATATTTATATTTTCTACTTATATAAAATGGGCACAAACCTATACTTATTTACTGTACGAGTATATAATTGAATTGATGGTCTGATTAAGGTATTAGACACATCCTGATTAACACTTCCTAGCTGCATTAGGACATCCCATGAAAAACACATGCTGCACTGAAACTTGAATACAGGAACAATTTTAGTCAAATATAAAACCTTCCTATGCAGATCTACTATATTTGATCTTGAAAACTACAACTGTCAAATATTTGCGCTGATTCAAAACTTGTCTTATTGCTTGCAATTTATATAACAAATTGTACAAAGCAACTACATGTATTTGATTAATTATATACTAAAATAGATTGGAATGTATGCTTATAAATAGTACGTATTTAGACAGTTGGCCTAACTGATAAAAGAATATAACCTTTTCAGTCGAGTCGGTATAGCCTGGCTTATTTACTAACCTAGGAGTTTTTCGTACTTCAAATAGACTAACATTTAACCGCTTGTTATACTGCATTTAAATAATGAATAACATTCCTAATCGAAGAATATAGATTAAATATTGAAGCAACTGGAACAGTAATCTGACTGCTGAGCATATAGAATTC